AATAAATGGTTCCAATGCCACACTTTCAAGGGCTCTGAACTTCCCTCTGGTTGTATCCAATATAGCAGCTTCTCATTAACAACATACAACTGGGAACCCCACTGATCTGCCAGTTTGTGCTTCCCAGAGGGACCCAAATTCTTTAATAACACCCGATCTCCAGACTGCAAGTCCTGAACTGTCACATTCAAATTGTAGTTCCTCTTATTTCACCGTTCTCAAACCCCTACAACCACTGAGGCCTTTTCACAAACCCCCTTCAGATTCTTCCTTAATCTATCTACATAACTACAATGTGACCTAACTGAAGTCTCATCTATTGAGGTACCAAAGACTATGTCTTCAGGTAGGCGGGCTTCCCTACCAAACATCAACCGATATAGGGAATACCCAGTGGCATCATTCCTCATGCTATTATATGCATGCACAATGGTAGAAATATGCTGTGTCCAATGTTGTTTCTGTTCTTCAGTGAGTGTCCCCAACATATGCAAAAGAGTACGATTAAACCTCTCAGGCGGCGGATCACCTTGTGGATGATAAGAGGTGGCACATGACTTTCGAATGCCCAGTAGGCCCAATAGTTGCTTAACAAGCCTGCTTTCAAAGTCTCTCCCTTGGTCAGAGTGTATGCCCTGGGATAGCCCATAATGTACAAAGAACGTCTCCACCAGCACTTTGGCTACTGTAACAGCATGCTGAACTTTTGTCGGAAAAGCCTGAGCATAATGGGTATAATGATCAGTCACGACCAATACATTTCCTTGTCCACTTACATCTTGCAAAGAAAGTCAATACAAACCAAATCCAAGGGCCCATAACTTTGCAAATGGCCCATCGGTGCAGTCCTCGAAGGTAAGTTTTGCTTTGAATGCAACACAGACAGGATCTACAATAATCCCCAACTTCTGTCTTCATACAGGGCTAATAAAATCGATCCATTACTAACTTAAAAATCTTTTCTGGTCCCAGATGCCCATGCTTGTCGTGTAGCACAATCAACACTGTGTCAAAGCAATAATATCCAATATTAGCAGCGTTGATATCTGCTTCTCTGTGTTTCTCCAGAAGCAAAAGTTACCACCTTTCTTCAGGCCCGTCTGGAGAGCCCCTCCAATAAACCATTCCATCACAAAGCTCTAAACGATCCCATTCCTTGTACAACACTTGGGCTTCTCTCAACGAATCAGCAAATAAAACCCAGGGCTCTTTTAATCAGGCCACAAAGGGGATCTTCCACCTGGTCCCTCCTCAGATCTTTCTTAGTCAGGGCAAACCTATCCTCCCTCTGACCTGAACAGGATTACAATATAATTTGGGAACACCTGCAATAGTGACTCCAACTGACTCAGCCCCAATTGCTCCTCTAGTCAGTGCCCTACCCCATGATAGAGTGCTTGGATACCATCTGGGGTCAATTGTATCCACTCTCTAACATAGAGCCGCCTTAGAGCCGAGGTGGCACAGCAGTTAGAGTGCAGTACTGCAGGCCACTTTAGCTGACTATGTTCAGCAGGTCAGCGGTTCAAATATTACCACCTCAAGGTTGACTCAGCCTTCCATCCTTCCGGGGTAGGTAAAATGAGGACCCAGATTGTTGGGGGCAATGTAAATATATCTATACATTGCTTACTGGTGTACACCGCTTAGAGAGTGCTTGCACTTAAAGCGGTATAATAAGTCTCATAAATAAATAAATAAATAAATAAATAAATAAATAAATAAATAAATATGCCCCTGAATCATGGGGTCTCCTTGACAGAGTATCTGCATCCGTGTTCCTCACCCCGGTGATATTTCAAACTGAACCTAAATCCAGAAAAGGCAGCCAACCATCGATGCCCTGTAGCATCAAGTTTAGCAGTTGTGAGTAGATTATTATCTGTCTTAACTTCAGACTCTGCCCTATACAGATAATCCTTCAATTTATCCACAACCGCCCACTTGAGGGTCAAAAATTCCAGCAAATGAGTGGGATAATTCTTTTCTGCTGGAGTTAAGCCCCTGCTGATGTACGCAATAGGCTTCAGCTGTTGGTCATGTTCCTGGTAAAACATCCCCCAATGCCATCCCGACTAGTGTCCACATGTAACTCATTCGGTCCATTAGGGTCTGTATAAGCCAGAACTGGGGTGTTCATAAGCCTCCCCTTCAACTAGTCAAAAGCTTGCTCACACTGTTTGGTCCATTCTGCCTGAGTAGACTCCTGAGACTTCCTGGGTCCCTTAGTTTGATGGACCAGATTCAAATAACTTACCGCTTCCTCTACTTCTTTGTTCTTTAACAACTCATTGAGCAAGCAAGCTATCTTTGCAAATCTTCCACAGACCTCCGATAATACAAACAAAATCCCAAAAATGATTGCAATTCAGCTACATTTTGAGGTCTTGGCCAGGAAGCAACTGCCTCAAGCTTGCAGGGTCTGTTGCCACCCCTTCAGCCGAGACAACATGAACTAAATAAGTGACAGATGGTTGGTAAAATTGGCATTTCTCCCATGACAATTTCAGCCCTTCCTCATGGAGCCTTGTCAATACCTTCTCCAAATGCTCCTCATGCTGTTCAAGGGTCTCACCAAAGACAATAATATCGTCTAAATAGACCAACACCTCTATCAGGTTCATAACCCCCAAAGTCCATTCCATAAACCTTTGAAAAAGTTGCCAGGGCCCTTGACAGCCCTTGAGGCATTCAATTAAACTCGCAAAACCCCAATGGGCAGATGAAAGCAGTTCTCTCCCTATCCTCTGGATGCATAGGGATATGGTGGTAGCCACTCCTTAAATCCAATTTACCCCTGACAAACACTGTAGAGCATTCTCTATCTGAGGAGTTGTATAATGATCGGGGATAGTCCTGATTAAGAGTGCAGTAGTCTATACACATTCTCAGGGACCCATTCTTCTTCCAGACCACCATTATAAGGGAGGCATAAGTACTTCGAAATTTCCTAATAACCCCAGTCTTTTTCAGTTCTGCTAGATGCTCTCTAAGATCATCCAGATCACTTAAGGGAATCCGCCAAGATATCTCCCTGAAGGGCTTACCTCCTTCAGTTGAGTTACATGCTAAGCACTCCTAGCATAGCCCACATCGAACTCATCTCTTGAAAATAGATGTTTCCACTTCCAAAGCTGATCTCTTGCCCTCTCCTGTCACTCAGGAGAAAGCTGTGTATCCTTGGGATAGAACTGATCCATTGAAACCTCCCCCTCAGTCTTTTCCCTATCATCCAGAGACCCAATCGGGGTAGTTGGGCTCACTTGCCCCAACAACATCCAATCCCTCAATTGTACAGGAAGGCTCATGACATTCCGAACCCCAACTAAGATCCGCCCTTTTTGCCTGCCATAAAACCCATGTGAAAACTACCTCTGGAATGAATTCCACTCCACCACTCCGCCCCTTGGGGCTGGATTCAAGAATAAGATATGGACCAGGCTGTTCCCAATCTAATCTAATGGAGGTCCCAAATACACCACTTCCTCTAGTTGTATCACTTTCTTCTCTCTGTCCAACTTCTATAATCACCCCACCCACTCTGCTGAGACCTGCTGTTCCCCCCCCAAAAATGCTGACATACTGTCTGTAGTGCAGGATGGACATCCCTTATGATCGGATTATCCCCCAAGGGGACAACTGGGGTGAGAAAATGCCTAACCAAGCTTGTGTTCATCCCCACAATCAACGAATCCTGACTGACTCCCGAGGGGCGGGTACACAATAACCAGAGTATCAAAAGTCTCCATATAACTGGCAATAGAAGACCCAAATGTCAACTGTATGGGCAAATACCCATCATATGGGAATTTTTCAGTCCCAGTACCATAGATCTTCAGGTCACTCAATTCCTGTATAGGCATATACATCAGATATCTATCATAAAAATCCCTATATAGTAATGTAATTTACACACCCAAATCCAAAAGGGTCTTAGTGTAAATACTTTCTACTTGCATTGGCACCATTGGAAAAGGGACCACCGACTGCTGAGGAACCCCAATAGGGGGAAACCCAGTGTCTGGTTTAACAACCCACACTTGATTCCCCAAAGACTGTCGCTGGGGCCCTATTGTTCTAGTTTCTGGCAGTTCAAAGAGATGGGGATTTCTCACTAAAGGGGGTACTCCCGTCACTCCCATCATCGTTGATGTTTTCCAATGGGATCTCATCTTGTCAGCGCTAACTGATATCACCGAGCACCCATCTATCTCCCTCACTGGGACCCTTGACAGTTTCCCGATCTTCTGTATCATTTCGTACAGGCACGCTTACAATGCCCCATGCCTCCACAATTATAACAAACTACTGGTCTCATTTAATTATTAGTTAGAGTGGATGGGTCCATCTCCCCATCATTTGGCCCAACCCGGCTTCCGTTCAAGGACGGGCCACCCATTACTGTCCAGGAAACCATTATCTTAGTTAAATCCAATATCTGAGCTTCCATCATTGTTAACAGATCATCATCCTCCCTAACCTTTCCCATTCCTGGGCCTAAGGGCTTTCCCACTGGCAACTCTGCTATCACCTCCTTGGCCTCCTCTACTACCTCAGTCACCCAAACTCTCCTTATAAGCTCGTGATACCCCCAAGTATGCATCTTTTTTTAAAAAAATGCAATCACTGAGAAAAATGAACAGCCAGAGTGTCTTCAACACATAGCTTTGTATATTAATTAATTAATTAATTAATTAATTAATTAATATGGCTGTCCAACTTACACATGGTAACTTTGGCTGGCTTATAACATGAACATTTTACAATGTAAGAACCCATGAATATCCACTCAACTCCAATGGTAGCAACATCAGAATCATACCAGCCACTTCTTTGCTCCCTATCAACCTGGGATTCCCCAGGTCCTCTGATATAACCAAAGCTTTGGAAAAATATCAAGGAAGGGCCAAATCTTATTTCCAGAACAATAATATTCCAAAGCAGGGAAGTCACCGCAGAGAAGGTCCCTTTCCTTAATCTCATTAGATGTACTTCTCTAAGATGTAATTTTATTTTATTGTATTAGAATCAAAGCATTTCAGGGATTGATTCAACTTTGAAAGACAGTTGAATTGAGGCATGGAAAAGATATTTATTAATACAGTTAAATCCCACTGATTTCAATGGCTCAGTATGAACAGCTATTTAGGTTCAACTCTATTCTCGTGAGATGGTTATAGATATGCTGGTAGTAAATTTTTCCATGTTATTTAAAAAGATAAAAGATAATATACACAGACTATATTATACATAATAGAACAGAATTAGTTCTCCAAATATTATTAAAATACAATACAATAAATTTCAAATATTGCAATCATTTGGGTCAAGATGGAAAATTTAGAAGGAAACAAAAGAAATCTGGTTATATTTGTAAAATATCCATACAACCATTCTTAATTAGCAAGAAGAAAATTATTAACTGAACAGAATTGAAACAATATGAAAACATGGTCCACATCTCTGCTTCAGGTTTCACTGCTGACTCCAAAAATGATGCAATGTATATGTTACTCTTTGTTTTTAAAAATGATGACAAAATAAAGAGAAGAATTAGGCATAATAAACCTTTCATGTATCCTTATATTTTATTTTTCATTGTTGATAAAAATGTTATCTAGCTTTAAGACAATGGCTCAACAAGTTTTATTTTGTTCTAAACATTTTCCAATGTAATGTCCTCTTCATTGCAGCTTTGACCTCCTTATTTCTTAAACTATAGATAATAGGGTTTAACATGGGTGTGATGACTGTATAGGAGAGGGAAAGAAACATTTTTGTGTCTGGAGAGTACTTTGACTTAGGGTTGAAGTAGGTAGATGAAGCTGTGCCATAAAATAAGGTTACCACCAGAAGATGAGATGAACATGTTGAAAAGGCTTTCTGCCTCCCCTCTGCTGAGGGCATTTTCAAGATGGTAATAATGATGCAGATGTATGTGAATAATATAATGAGGAAAGGAAATACTATGAATATCATAGTAGCTGTGGGAGCCTCAATTTGAATCATGTATGTATCAGCACAAGCCAACTCCAGCACTGGAGGACTATCACAAAAGAAATGATTAATTGTATTAGGCCCACAGAATGTCACACTAAAAACAAAGATGGCAGAGACAGTAGAGTTAGGGAAGCCTAAAAGCCATGAGACCAGGGCTAGTTGAAAACATACTTTTCTATTCATAATTTCTGGATAGCGTAATGGATTACAAATGGCAACATAGCGGTCATATGCCATTGCAGCAAGAAGGCAGCATTCAACTGTACCAAAGAAAAAAAAGAAATATAACTGGGTGAAGCAGCCCATATAGGAAATGGTTTTCTTCTGCAAAATAAGATCTGCTAGTATTTTTGGAACAATTACTGAATTGAAACAAATATCTATGGAAGAAAGATTTCGGAGGAAGAAGTACATGGGACTATGAAGCGCAGGGTCTACTGTTGTGACAAGTATGATGAGGATATTTCCAGTCAGAGTTATTGTATAAACAAGAAGGAAAATGACAAAAAGGGGTATCTGAAGCTTGGGGTAACTGGAAAATCCCATAAGAATAAATTCTATAACATTGGTTTGATTACTTCCTATAATTGATCTTTTCCATGCCTTTAACATTATTTGGAATATGATTCTCTGACAAAGTTGATAAATTCTTCTACAAGATTTTTCTTTGTCCAATGAGGTAGTCCTCTTTATGACCAGATAATATGTAGGCAATTTTCTAAACAAACTTTGTTGTGAATCTCTTAAACTGATTCCTTTCTATAAAAAATGATATAAGAATGATCATTAATTAATTATAAACATGTACATTTTAGGGTGAGTTTAGGAGGAATAATCATCTTTTTTACCATCCTTTTCCAATAGTTGGGGAAGTCTTTCTGCTTTTTTATCAGGGAAAGAGTAAAATATTTTAGAGAAATTTTAGGGCAGCAGAAGTTTGGTTTTATGTTATGAAGGACTAGCAATTATCAGCCAGGAAGTGGCAAAAATCATTAATGGATATAGGGCAATCTTTCCATAGCTTTCCATTACACATTATCTATTTTCATCTTTTGGAATACCTTTTCCCTAAGATGCTGTATATATATTGCTGAAATTAAAGATATTGGATATTGAACGTAAATAACACCTGGGGGTGGGTACAATTTTGCCACAGCTGATTTATACAAGAATAAATTGTTTGGGGGCGCCCTGGGGAATGAGTTTCAAGGCTGTCAATTAAATGTTTAGGTGATCCTATTAAGTTTCTCATTGGGTTTTATAGGTTTTTAAATCTTTCTCTTTTTTATTTTTTGAAACTTGCTTGTTTGCCATTGTAATGTTCCAACTTCCTAATACAACAGACATCCCTAACTTAAGGGGAGCAAAGATTTAAAAAATGTATTACAGAATAGGAAGACATTTTTATTTCCATGATAAATTCTGAAGACTTCATATATGAATCACAATATATTTGAGAGCGATTCTTTTAAAATATGTCTGATTTATCAATTAATGAATCATTAAACCATCTTCCATAAGATATTTAATCTAAAATATGTAAGGAGTGAAAGAGTACATCAGCAGATAGTAAAATATATCAGTGGATGCAAGTAAAAAAATGTGCTATCAGTAAGTTTCCACTTCACAGCAATGGTTACCATCTTTGATTCTGAGGGCGATGTTTTGAAGGGGGTTTCCCACAATTTTGTTTTATTGTTTGATGTGATACTATTGCTACTGTTTGTCTGGTTTGGGTTCTTTATTGTAGCCATATTATCTCTTCTGTTCTTTATGTATGCTTCAATTATCTAGAGCTTGATATTAACAGTTTAAAATTAAACAGGAAATGATAAACATTTAATCAATAGTCTTCTTTTAAGATGTACATGATGCATACAAGACTTGTGGTGGCACAGTGGAATGCAATATTGCAGGCTAATTCTGGCGATTGCCAGAAGTTCACAGGCTCAAGGTTGATTCAGCCTTTCATCCTTCCAACCCAGATTGTTGAGGACAATATGGCTTTAGAGAGGACTGTAAAGCACTATGAAGTGGTATATACTGTAAGTCTAAGTGCTATTGCTATTGTATACAGAAGAGTCTTAAAATTTCCTCAAGTTTATTCACTCTTACTTTATATTACAATGCATACGCTATTACTGAACACCAAGTCAAACCAATATATGTTAACTTTTTTAAAATAAAAGTTAAGCTCAATTTATATATACAGTTAAGCTCAATTTATATATACAGAAAAGGAAACTAAATTTTCATACTTACCTGTAAGTATTGATGGCTAAGAGTGAAATATTGTCGTGATTAGTATTTTTTTATCTTAGTTCATTTAGTTCCTATAAGGATCTATCTTCCTGACTTATTCTTCCTAGAATAATTACACAATTAAGTTAATATGACACCAATTACTTTCTTTATAATGTGAGTTCCTACGTAAGTTATCCCTACTTTTTCATGATTATCTTCTCCATTATTTAAATGTGCTGATATTGCATATGGTGGTGGTAGTGGTGGTGATGGTGGTGATGGAGGAGGAGGAGGAGGAGAAGGAGGAGGAGGAGGAGAATAGTAATAATAATAATATTAAAATAGAAGGATAGATCCAAGTAAAATATTTGAGGATTTGAAAATCTTTCCCCATTATATAAAATAATAATGTATTTCTCATTACATCTGTTTTAATTTGCAAAAGACCAAACATGCATTGGTTTCTTTTGCTCTAGGTTCAACTAGATAAGTTAAGGTAGAAAATAACTGGTCCATTCATCAATCAAATAATTGACAATCTGTATATATCTCTCCCACCCTCTCTTGCTCTGATTAACTAAATGGCCCAATTATTAGTAGTCCAGAAATATAAACATTTAAACTACCAATGATTGTTGCATTTCATGTTAAAACTGAATTCCTTGTTTTGAAAAGCCCATAACAAAAGCACCATACTGTTAGTGATGCAGATTGTTATTCTCCTTACCAGATTCACTGATAAGAAGGATTTCTCATAATTGTATCATTGAAAGATTACCTCTTAAGAGTTACTTTTACCTTCTTATTTCTTACTCTTTTCTCTCTGTCATGGGTTTTTTAATTGTATCCAATTAGATCGACACAAACTCAAGGGAGACACAAAAGCACTGTCTCTGGGACAATCTCCCTATAAAGATTAGAGAAAGTTTCTATTTTGTAAAAATAAACATATAAAAGTAATATGTGAGTGCTTCCTATTCTAGTAATATCCCAATAAATTATATCTCTGGTAATTAATATTACAATATGCTATGACAATGTTTATACTAGATTCTATTCTATTCTATTCTATTCTATTCTATTCTATTCTATTAATAGAAATTCACTATTATTTACCATTCTATCAGAATTACCTTTAAGCCATGTTCTATACCTTACTAACATGCCTCAATGTTTCCTTCTTTTTAAGACTGTTCTGTCTCAAATTTCCTGTCTCTGAAATTTCTACCAATGGCCAGCAAGTAGAGTTTTGTTGTGCTGTTATACTTCTCTCCCTCTCTTTTCTAAAGAAAAATGTTCTTCTTTTGTCATCTACTCTGATTTCTGGTCTATGTTTGCCTCTACTTCTCTACTGACACGTGTGTCAAGGTTGCAACATTATTGGAAACTCTGCAATGTTGACTCTAGGGAAAAGGCTCAATTGGGAATGAAAGAAAGCACACATGTGCAATTTTGTTTACTCTTCCACCGTCCCATGGGGAAAAATTTCTAAAACAATACCTCTGGGTTTTAATTAGCATGTTGGAAGCAAATTATCAAGAATGTAATCAATAGAGTGAATTAGAGATAGTGAAAACAAAAGAAGACTTTGATTAATGTCTCAAAATTATTTCAATATGCTGATGATACAACTCTCAGAAACTAAAAAGTTAGAGAGTATCTGATTAAGAAAATTTTAAAAAGTGAGAACTTTGGTCTCTTTTTCTTAACATCAAAAAGTCAAGTTCATGACCACTGCAAGGAAGGGAAACATTAAAATAGAAATTGATAGTGAAGAGATAAAATGTATTGAAAAAAATCATTTTCCTAGGATTGCAGATAGCTTAAAGTGGTGAATGCAGTGCAGAAATAAAATAGTGGATTTCACTGGGTCACACAGCAATGAACATGAGCTGAATATAAAAAAGCAAGGACATCAGCATGGCAATCAAATGTAGTTTAGTATGCTCTATTATGTTCCCCATAGCTACCTATGACTGTGAAAGCTGGATCTTAAAAAAAGCAAGACAGGAAGACTTTTGAAGCAGTTCCATTGGGATGTTTTTGATCACACGTCCGATAACCCAGATTTGGTGCTGAAACACTACTACTAAGGAATTTCAAACCTTGTAATGACAAGTGCCTCAATTTGAATGGCGATTATGTTGAAAAGTAATGTAATGTTGTAGTTTTCTAATGTGTATAATAAAAATTCTGTATCTGCAAGTGTCTGTCATTGATAACCAAATGGAAATTTATTTCCAAATTGCCCTCGTATAATGTCTTTTTGGAATCCTAGTATGAAGAATCTCCATTTTGTTTTTTTTGTCTTATTGAAAAAATAAAAGCATTTCTTCCCATGCTGGCTCAGTGACATGTAGGATGTTGTTTATTGAAAATTAGGGGAAAATACATCTGGATTACAATTTTGGATTATTTTATTACCATGGATTTGAACTTTAATGCATTTGTTATATTTTATTCTGCTGTTTTGACTGCTCTCTCTGTGCCTATGTGCAGGAGTTATATGCTGTTGACTGAAGGCATGGCAACATTGAGATTAACCTTTAGAAATCATTATTATTTCCTCTCCTCTCTCCCCATTTTTCCTTTTGTCTTTCAATTCTCCTAGTGTTTTTTTATTTTTCCTTTTTCACTTTACAACAAACAAATACATTTTTCTTAACAGTGCTGTATCATATGTCTCTTACATTTATTTACAGTTATTTACATTAATTTTCATACATTTTTATTTCTCTGTTCTAACTAAACATAGCATTTATTCCATATCTCGTAAAATTCTGTTGCTTCCTTCTCTTTTATTTCTACAGTAAGCTTGTATATCTCCGTGCATTCTAGTATCTTGTGAATAATCATCTCATTTGTTGGTATATTTTCACATTTCCAACACTGCGCATTTATCTTTGGATTTTGTTGTTGTTGTTGTTAATTGCGAAGTCGTGTCCGACCCATCGCGACCCCATGGACAACATTCCTCCAGGTCTTCCTGTCCTCTACCATCTTCTGGAGTCCATTTAAATTCACACCTACTGCTTCAGTGACTCCATCCAGCCATCTCATTCTCTGTCGTCCCCTTCTTCTATTGCCCTCAATCTTTCCCAGCATTAGGCTCTTCTCCAGTGAATCCTTCCTTCTCATTAGGTGGCCAAAGTATTTGAGTTTCAACTTCAGGATCTGGCCTTCTAAAGAGCAGTCGGGGTTGATCTCTTCTAGGACTGACCGGTTTGAACGCCTTGCAGTCCAAGGGACTCGCAGGAGTCTTCTCCAGCACCATAGTTCAAAGGCCTCAATTCTTTTCGCTCAGCCTTTCTTATGGTCCAACTTTCACAGCCATACATTGCAACTGGGAAAACCATGGCCTGGACTATACGCACTTTTGTTGGCAGGGTGATGTCTCTGCTTTTTAGAATGCTGTCTAGATTTGCCATAGCTTTCCTCCCCAGGAGCAAGCGTCTTTTAATTTCTTGGCTGCAGTCCCCATCTGAGGTGATCTTGGAGCCCAGAAAAATAAAATCTGTCACTACCTCCATTTCTTCCCCATCTATTTGCCAGGAATTGAGAGGGCCGGATGCCATGATTTTGGTTTTCTTAATGTTGAGTTTCAAGCCAACTTTTGCACTCTCCTTCTTCACCCGCATCAAGAGGCTCTTTAGTTCCTCTTCACTTTCTGCCATTAGAGTGGTATCATCTGCTTATCTTAGGTTGTTGATATTTCTCCCGGCAATCTTAATTCCAACTTTTGATTCATCTAGCCCTGCCTTTCTCATGATGTGCTCTGCATATAAGTTAAATAGGCAGGGCGACAGTATACAGCCTTGCCGGACTCCTTTTCCAATTTTGAACCAATCAGTGGTTCCGTGTTTGGTTCTCACTGTTGCTTCTTGACCCGCATATAGGTTTCTCAAGAGACAAATGAGATGGTCTGGTACTCCCATCTCTTTAAGAACTTGCCACAATTTGTTGTGATCCACACAATCAAAGGCTTTTGCATAGTCAATGAAGCAGAAGTAGATGTTTTTCTGGAACTCCCTAGCTTTCTCCATGATCCAGCGTATGTTGGCAATTTGATCTCTAGTTCCTCTGCCTCTTCGAAATCCTGCCTGTACTTCTGGTAGTTCTCGATCCACATACTGCTGGAGTCTAGCTTGTAGGATTTTAAGCATAACTTTACTAGCATGTGAAATGAGTGCAATGGTGCGATAGTTTGAACATTCTTTGGCATTGCCTTTCTTTGGAATTGGAATGTAAACTGACCTTTTCCAATCCTGTGGCCACTGTTGAGTTTTCCAAATTTGCTGGCAAATTGAGTGTAGCACTTTTACTGCATCGTCTTTTAAGATTTTGAATAGCTCAGCTGGAATACTGTCACCTCCACTAGCTTTGTTGTTGCTCAGATTTTCTAAGGCCCATTTCTCTTCACATTCTAGGATGTCTGGTTCGAGGTCAATGACCATCTCATTGTGGTTATCTGGGATGTTAAACTCATTCTTGTATAGTTCTTCTGTGTAGTTTTGCCATCTCTTCTTAATCTCTTCTGTCTCTGTTAGATCCCTGCCATTTTGGTCCTTTATCATGCCCATCTTTGCATGAAACGTTCCCTTCATATCTCCAATTTTCTTGAAGAGATCTCTGGTCCTCCCTATTCTGTTGTTTTCTTCTATTTCTTTGCACTGTTCATTTAAGAAGGCATTCTTATCTCTTCTAGCTACTCTCTGGAATTCTGCATTCAATTAGGTGTATCTTTCTCTTTCTCCTTTGCCTTTCGCTTCCCTTCTTTCCTCAGCTATTTGCAAGGCTTCCTCAGACAGCCATTTTGCTTTCTTGCATTTCTTTTTCTTTGGGATGGTTTTAGTTGCTACCTCTTGTACAATGTTGCGAACTTCCATCCATAGTTCTTCAGGCACTCTGTCTATCAGATCCAGTTCCTTAAATCTATTTGTCACCTCTACTGTATATTCATCAGGAATATGATTTAGTTCATACCTGAGTGGCCTAGTGCTTTTCCCTACTTTTTTCAATTTAAGCCTAAATTTTGCAACAAGAAGCTCATGATCTGAGCCACAGTCAGCTCCTGGTCTTGTTTTTACTGACTGTATAGAGCTTCTCCATCTTTGGCTGCAGAGCACATAGTCAATCTGATTTTTATGTTGACCGTCTGGTGATGTCCATGTGTAGAGCCGTCTCTTGGGTTGTTGGAAAAGAGTGTTTGTTATGACCATCGTATTCTCTTGACAAAATTCTATTAGCCTGTGCCCTGCTTCATTTTGTACTCCAAGGCCAAACTTGCCTGTTATTCTGGTTATCTTTTGGCTTCCTACCTTAGCATTCCAATCCCCCATGATGATAAGGACATCATTTTTTGGTGTTAATTCTATAAGGTGCTGTAGGGCTTCATAGAACCGGTCAATTTCATCCTCTTCAGCACCAGTGGTTGGGGCATAGATTTGGACTACTGTGATATTGAATGGTTTGCCTTGGATTCGAATAGAGATCATTCTGTCATTTTGAGGATTGTATCCCAGTATTGCTTTTCCTATTCTTTTATTGACTATGAAGGCTACTCCATTTCTTCTGAAGGATTCTTGCCCACAGTAGTATACCTGATGGTCATCTGAGTTAAATTCACCCATTCCTGTCCATTTTAGTTCGCTGATTCCTAAGATGTCGATGTTCAGTCTTGTCATCTCTTTTTTGAGTGTCCTTTCGGCTTTGGCCCAGTCACTTTATTCTTTCTGGCGCTACTAGTACTAGCCCTCTGTTCTTCCCCAGTAGCATATTGGACACCTTCCGACCTGAGGGGCTCATCTTTCAACGTCATATCTTTTTTCCTTTTAGTACTGTCCATGGGGTTTTCATGGCAAAGATACTGGAGTGGTTTGCCATTTCCTTCTCCAGTGGATCACATTTTGTCAGAACTCTCTGCTATAACCTGTCCGTCTTGGGTGGCCCTGCACGGCATAGCTTATAGCTTCATTGAGTTACGCAAGCCCCTTCGCCACGACAAGGCAGTAATCCATAAAGGGGATCTTTGGATTAATTATATCTAATAGAAATAATTCGGGTTTAAGTTCAATTTGTTCTTTTGTTATCTCCTGTATCCATCTCCTTATTTGTTCCCAATAAATCCTTGCTTTGGGGCATTGCCACTACATATGGTAGAATGTTCCCTCCTTGTTTTTGCACTTCCAACAATCCAGGTTCATATTTTTATACATCTTAGCCAATCTCGCCGGTGTTAAGTGCCATCTATAAAACATTTTGTATTGATTTTCTTTATATGCAGTTGACAATGTTAATTTAAAATTTTTAATCCATGCTCTTTCCCATTCTTCTAATTCTATATTTTGGCCCACATTTCGTGCCCATGCTATCATTGGACCTTTTACTATTTCTTCTTCCAATTCTACCTCTAGTAAGTATTTATATGTTTTTGTTAAAAAATTTCCTTCCTTGCCTGTCAATATTTTATCCAATTGCTGTGGTACCTGATTTATTCCATATTCTTCCATATCTTTACTATATTTTGACTGTATCTGTAGGTATGGCCACCAATCTATAATTATTCCCTGTTCTTTTAATTCTTCCCTTGATTTGAGATTTCCTTGGTTATCTAATAATTCTTTATATCTTGTCATCTTTTTTTTGTCCAATGTATTTGGGTGAATTGTTGTCTCCATTGGTGAGGCCCAATTTGGTATTTTCATGTAGTGCCTCTTTTTGACCTTTTCCCATGTCCAAATCAGCGCATCTCTTATCTGGTGCCAGTAAAAATATGTATGTGTCTTCTTATGTTTTCCCCATAAGAAGGCATGCCAACCGGCCTGCAAGTCATGTCCTTCAATCATTAAAACCCTTTTATTACCTAAGTTTATCCAATCCCTAATCCAAAGTAACCCAGCTGTTTGGTAATAAGTTTCCCATTTTGGGAGCCCAAGGCCACCTCTACTTCTACTATCTTGTAACATTTTGATATTTATTCGTGCTTTTTTACCCAACCAAATAAATTTATTGATCATTTTGTCTAATTCTTCGGAAAAAAAATTCTCTAATTTTATTGGGAATGTCTGAAATAAATATAATAAGTTTGGTAATATATTCATTTTAATCACAGAGATCCTTCCTAATAATGATAATTGTAATTTTCCCCAAACCTCTAAATCTTTTTTCATTTGTAGTATCAATTTTTTGTAATTGTCCTCGTTTATTGAGGAACATCTTATAGTAAGCCAAATTCCTAAGTATTTAATCTTTTTTACAATTTGCAGTCCCAAATCTTCTTCTAATTTCCTTTTCTGTTTTTTAATATACTATGTAAAGACTTGAATTCTTACTGAATCAGCACCATGAATTTCAAAAGATTTTAATTCTAGTATATTCATTTTTTCTGCTGAGTTAATGGGCAAATAATGATGGAAAGCAGGGAAGAGGTTGCCACCAAATCTTTTCCTGATAATTTAGTCAGAGAAGAATTCTCTAAGAGAAAAAAATGGTTAGTGGCAACATTTATCAAATAGGATCTCCCCAAGGGAAGGGTAGGTACTGGGGGGGGGAGGAATTCTAAAAGAGATTTAAGACTATCACATAGAGGCCAGAGAAACCAACTCATATCATTTCATCTTTTATGTAGAAGGGTTTGATTCTTTAACCACAGTAACAATATATATAATAAGATAACTTTATTTATTCACTCTATTCCACAAACTTTTACTCTCCTACAATCAAAGTGATTTTCAGTGACTCACAGTGTACAAATACACGCACAGAATAAATATTCCAGATTAATTTACAGCTATTCACAAATCACAATAACAATAGCCACATAAACGAACAAGATGAGAACCTGAATGGCAATCTCTCTATTCCTAGTCCTGTAGTGTAAACACTGTGTTAATTATCTTAACAGGGCAAATAAAAATATATCCTTGTATTTAAAAAAAAATTTGTTCCAAACTTTTAATATTTAAAAACAACATGAATTTGATCTTCAATTTTTCCTCCTCCCCCAAGGTCTTCTGAGGAAATGGAATGGCAAATTCAGTATATTCAACTTTAAACAAAAGGATTTTTTCTCTACTTGTTCATTTCTTTATTTATTGGAATATATGCACATTCTAATTAAGCAGAACTCTGAAAAGCTTATATTCCATTTGTATAATAAAAGGGCTAAAATAAAAAAACAAGATAATAAAACAAAATTTAAAAAATGAAAACCTCTAGGACAAAGACCTCTAGAATCCATTATTCCAAATTATCCATTATAGGTGTTTGCTCCTCTGAAGTACTTTAAGCCTGCTTATCTTCAACTAGAGTACACATAAAACCTTATTTAGATCCTCACACTAAACAACTTAGAGTCCAAGATCTCATATATATACCAAGTGGTATATATGTACATACATAGATGCACACAAATAACAAAACAAACAATTCTGTCTATGGTGCAAAAATTGACTTTTGAAAATTGATTTTGTGCAGACAATCTTTTTCTTGTTTTTGAAAGAATGTGCAAAAATTTCATTTCCTTTCACATATTGCCCACTATAATTCTTGCTGTTAAGATTACAATAGTGCGGCAATAAAATAAAGAATATGACTTCCAAATAAGTTTGCATGGGATGGAGTAAAGAAAACCAGAACATTTTAGCTGATCAACTTAGAAAAAGAAAGAAACTGACAATATCAGCAATAAAGGGATCAAATTTTTATATTCAAGATTGGAAATAACAGGAGAATTGACAGGGTTTTTAAGGATTGTCTTACAATTAAAAGAGTGGATAAATCAACAATTTCACCATTATCTTCTCTTTCAAATACCTTCTATGTTTCTTGACCATAGTAAGAAAAATATAATTACTTGTGCAGATGTGTTTCACTCTGACGTCACAAATTTTTGGCCCAGCAAGAATTATTGAGGGAAAGCGGATACAGTTACAAATTGCTGGAAGGATAAAATCTGATATCAAGAATGAGACAGATACACTAGGAAAAAATGCTTATGTAAAATCAACACCATCTGTTAGGACACGTATATAAATTCTAACTCACATATGATATGGAGATAGAAAAAAATTAAAAATGCATAATAAAACAGATGCAAAACTCTATACCAACTGTGATAGCACAATATGAAGAACCATGGACCAAATCCATAAAATTTCACTCTAAATGAATTTTGGTATAAAATGTTTTACATATGGCATACAATTCCATCAATAATTTCCAAGTTAGACAAATCATATAGTAATAACTATTGGAT